ATAGTACATAGGGATTTAAACCTGCACACGCATCAGAATTTGATCTTTATAATTTACATGCACGGATATAGAAATCCAAGATTCGAAATGGAAATAAAAATACAATGTTACTTTTATTTGTAATGACCATTGGATGTGCATTAAGTTCAGGGTACCATTGAAATCAAAGTCTACCAGTTACAGAAACTTACATGACCTGTATACCAAAAAGATAAATGTATACCAAAAAGATAAATGTATACCAAAAACACCCACGCATAAGCATAACAGAAATACACACTTGTAATGCAAGAAACATAAATGTATACACTACACAAAAACAAGTTACAAGTGTATCAGAAAAATGTATACCAGATCTAGAAACACACATATTGTAGCAGAAACAAACATTTATACCACTTACCACACACAAACATTTATTTGTATAGACTTACAGAATTTCCCGACCATAGGAGTACCAGGCCTGGTAACGGAGTGTATGATTGGTTGCTAAGGTAAATGTTCCTGGTCGTAACTGTGGAAAATTGAATAATAGCATCCGCTAGTTTTGTCAAAATTCATGTACAGGTCAACATCATTGTGAATAACCTATCAATAAAGCTGTAGTGATATTTTATCTGTACACAGCTTTACTACAAAAATCAACCTCTTCAATACCAAACATTACATAAAGTATAATTGGAAAATTTCGGTGCACACTAATTTTCCGATTTTCTGCCCTCCCCAAAGAAAGCAAATTTATCATCAAATATTAGTATGAAACAAACAATGTATGGTGATTACATGTTACGGTAAAATTTACACTGGGCGAACTCAGATTTTTTGGTAAAGGGAAAATATTTGACTGGGTGTAAGGTAATATTCATACCTAGCAATAGTCATAGCTGTACCCTGCTTTACTACTAAAATCAGTTTATTTAATTCCTACCTACAGCACACATTGTCAGTATGAAAAGGCAGATATAGAGGGGATCAACTGATTACAGGAAAAATGTATGAACTGTGTTAATTTGTTTTTCATTATGACTAGACTTTCATTTCCCCCATTATTGCCATATATAAGAGCAGCTATGAACACTCGATCTGTACTTTATTCAAATATTGATATAATGCAGGAAGCACATGTAATGATTATCAGCCATCATAATATTTATAATAAAAGCGACAACTGTCCAATGGTATTTGTTTTAGCGTTTTGAACTGCTTTCAGTTGGCATTCATAAGCAATACTAATAATGACATCTAGACAAATTAGACAAACTCATAAAAAAGCTCACACTTTATGTTGGATTTGCCCTTGTCCAGTTGGCAATCTTATCTGTATTGCCTATGAATGCCAACAGAAAGCAGTGCAATACAAAATGTACTTTTATTTACCATTTTGGAGTACGTACTGTATGTTAATCTCTAAAGGAAAACTAAACTGACTTATCAAAATTTCGTATTTAGTACATGTTAGGTCATATCTTACATAATAAATTTATGCTTTTCAATAAATATAAATGTCATCTGTCGAAGAAGGGTCAGTGGTATCAAATGTTATAATAATTGTATTATGTCAAAATAAGGTGGACAACAACAATAAGCCCATGGCATTCATACCTGATATGAATGACATCTGAATATGGTAAGGCAATAGACTGGCAGTGCAATACCGTAGTATATATAATAATATGTTTCCCAGTTTACTACAAACATGTATCTAGTTAATATCAAAGTGACAATGTCCTGTGACTATATATAGGGCTGTCACAATATATCGGAAAGCAGGTATATCGCAACACACTGGTTTAGTACATCACATGATAATTTCTAGGATAGCTATTGGATAACTACCCTTGTTCTATTTGGTATAGTTAGCATCCACCCTTGACAACGGGAACTAGAACTGGAGACGGGCACTAAACCTTTTTTTTGGACCGCTGAGACTGCGGGAAAAGTAGCGTGACACTAAGAGTTGCGCCCTTTCTCGTAGGGAGTTCCTCATCATGTTTGTCTTTTTATTGTCAAATGACAGTCATGTAATGTACTAAATCTATTATGACCCTTTCCCTCAGGAACAGTTCTCTTATAGTGTTGTCTGGGGAGGTTTAGTGCCCGAGCCGTTAAGTGAACAGTTCCCTCAGAAAAGGGCCATAATAGAATAATATCGTATCATACCACAATACAGAGATAAAATAATGATAAACTTATTATAAAATTGAGCACATCTTTCCTATGACAATATATTGGGATGCATATCGCAATATATTCATGTGACACCCCTACCTGTGACCATGAACAATACAAAGAGATCGTAAACTGAACACCTACTGTATCTGTCACTCCTATCCACGAAGCTCCATCTGGTGTTCGACACTGGTTTAAGTCACCAATCGAGTACGTTTCTCGAGAGTTTGTTGGCATGAATAAATCACCACCGTTTTGCTGACACATTGTGCGGGCATCAAACCAGTTAGCTTTCTGATCGAACAGTTTGAAGCACTCTGTCCCTACGAGGTGCCAGTTGTCTCCGGAGTTACACACATCTATGGCATCTACAGTAATAAAGATACATTGTAGTTATTTAATGCCTTTTCATGAATTTTGTTAAAGTTACATCCCCATGGTGTTGAGGTCAACAGAAATGCAAAGGAAACATTTCATTGAGTTGGCTTCAAAAACATCTTGATTACAGTCTGGACATTTTCAAGAAAAAGCGTGACAATAAAGGTTATGTTACTTGAATAATATGTTTTCATATGCAGTATACATAGTCAAGTGACAGAAGTGCACAAACTTACACAGATAGTCAGGTAATATACACATTACAGTATTGAACCAGTGCAAATTAAGACAGTTATAAAGGGGCGAACTTGGCGCCTTGACATCAAATACGAAGTACTGGTCGGAATCTGTATTTAGCAAGTGTTTATTGACACAAATATTCTTTGTTTTTTTCTATATAAGTCAGGTGAGCTTTCTTATAATGAACAGAAAAGAGAGTTGAAAGTGTCAATACAGATCTTACCTTTGAGTTTCACCCTCAGATCACACCCCAGGAGTCTGTACACATTCATATATCTCTTACCATTGGGTTTCTCACAGTTCACACCCCAGGAGTCTGTACACATTCATATATCTCTGACCATTGGGTTTCTCACAGATCACACCCCAGGAGTCTGTACACATTAATATATCTCTGACCATTGGGTTTCTCACAGATCACACCCCAGGGGTCTGTACACATTCATATATCTCTTACCATTGGGTTTCTCACAGATCACACCCCAGGAGTCTGTACACATTAATCTATCTTTTACCATTGGGTTTCTCAAAGATCACACCCCAGGAGACTGTACACATTAATCTATCTCTTACCATTGGGTTTCTCACAGATCACACCCAGGAGGCTGAACACATTAATATATATATCTTACCATTGGGATTCTCACAGATCACACCCCAGGAGTCTGTACACATTAATCTATCTCTTACCATTGGGTTTCTCACAGATCACACCCAGGAGTCTGAACACATTAATATATATATCTTACCATTGGGTTTCTCACAGATCACACCCCAGGAGTCTGTACACATCAACATATCTCTTTTACCATTGGGTTTCTCACAGTTCACACCCCAGGAGTCTGTACACATTAATCTATCTCTTACCATTGGGTTTCTCACAGATCCCACCCAAGGAGTCTGTACACATTAATCTATCTCTTACCATTGGGTTTTTCACATATCACACCCCAGGGGTCTGTACACATTAGTATATCTCTTACCATTGGGTTTCTCACAGATCACACCCCAGAAGTCTGTACACATTAATCTATCTTTTACCATTGGGTTTCTCACAGATCACACCCCAGGGGTCTGTACACATGAATATATCTCTTACCATTGGGTTTCTCACATATCACACCCCAGGAGTCTGTACACATTAATCTATCTTTTACCATTGGGTTTCTTACAGATCCCACCCCAGGAGTCTGTACACACTAATCTATCTTTTACCATTGGGTTTCTCACAGATCACCCCCCAGGAGTCTGTACACATTAATATATCTCTTACCATTGGGTTTCTCACAGATACCACCCCAGGAGTCTGTACACATTAATCTATCTTTTGCCATTGGGTTTCTCACAGATCACACCCCAGGGGTCTGTACACATGAATATATCTCGTACCATTGGGTTTCTCACATATCACACCCCAGGAGTCTGAACACATTAATCTATCTTTTACCATTGGGTTTCTTACAGATCCCACCCCAGGAGTCTGTACTCATTAATCTATCTTTTACCATTGGGTTTCTCACAGATCACCCCCCAGGAGTCTGTACACATTAATATATCTCTTACCATTGGGTTTCTCACAGATCCCACCCCAGGAGTCTGTACACATTAGTATATCTCTTACCATTAGGTTTCTCACATATCACACCCCAGGAGTCTGTACACATTAATCTATCTCTTACCATTGGGTTTCTCACAGATCACACCCCAGGAGTCTGTACACCTGCGCTGTTGAACCTGTCCCAAGTACGGTTTGTAGGAGTAGAGAGCTGCACAAGTACTTCGTGCATCATTGGTTTTCCCGACCTGGTGACGGTACCAATTTCTGTAGACATATATAATAACCATTTAGCTCTATATTATCTGATTCAAGGAATTAGAAAACAATGTTTTAAAAAAGCTTTCCTGATGTAATAGAATGTCCAGTGCCCTTTTAGTTGAACTAGCTTAGTTAGCAATTAGCAAATAGATACTATCTTCGAGACTCCGATAGACAATGTGTCACAATGTTTGCATCCGATTTTGTACACACACACTGTGACACTTTCTTAAAGGGTTTTATCCTTAGGATATATAACGATATTTCGGGTTGTCTGGGTTGTCTGT